AGTCGACTGGCCATGTGTTAGTAAAATAGTCAAGAGCACACTTGGTTGGGCAAATGGGTTATCTTGACAAGATTGAAGCACCCTACAGTTCATTTCATGTTTCCTCTTATTCAATTATTTGAGAATAGACTCCAACTTAATGAGATTTTATCTCGAAATAATCGGTTTAATTAGTAACGTACTACCTACGTATTTTTAAGTTATAGATTATTGTGGTTCCGATGCAAGATTATGCTCATTTTCATCCATGATTTGTATCCAACCACACAGTCCAAACACTCAAAACAAAATAAGGTACAATCACACTACATGCCATACAAAATTTGGAATTTGTTTTGATAAACATAGTAATACTCTTTTCTTTTCTTTAAAGTTAGTTCATTTAATATAAGAAATGTTATTTGCATTTCAAAATAAGTCTGTTGCACTCGATCTTCCAATCATGAACGAATTGAGATGAACTTTTGATAACCAAATTCCAACTGGGTTTTGAGTAGGGGTGGCATTTTAAACCGAAAAATCGAAAAACCGAAAAACCGCAAAAACCAACCGACAATTTACCGCAATGAAACAGCAATCGCGGTAAACCGAACCGCATTTGCGGTATTAAGAACCGAACCGCATTTGCGGTATTAAGAACCGAACCGCATTTGCGGTATTAAGAACCGAACCGCATTTGCGGTATTAAGAACCGAACCGCATTTGCGGTATTAAGAACCGAACCGCATTTGCGGTTGCGGTTGCGGTATTTGATTTTCAAAACTTGCGGTTACCGCAAACCGTAAAGTATAGCCACACAGATGATGAAGTTGAATTTTACAAGGAAATGGAACATATGACAACTTGTAAGTAATTAGTTTATTTATGCTAATGTTATTTATGCTTCTTCTTATAATAAAATGTACTAAACTATATTGTTTTATTTGTAGATAACATTGGTGCTCAAACAACACAACGAGGTTCTTCAATCCACTCACCACCAACACTTGAGTTTGTAACTTTAGTTTGTAACATTGGTGCATTGCATTTTCCTTTTAGTTTGTAACTTTAATTAACTTTGAATTGGATTTTTCTTTTTTGTTGTAACTTTAATTCATTTTACTTTGCATTTTCCTTTTTGTTTATAACTTTAAAAGATTTGGAATTGGAATGCTTGAGAAGTTTAACTTTAATTAGAATGCTTGGAATTGTAACTTTAATTTTCTTAGGTTGTGAATGCTTGAGAAGTTGAAGAGATTGTGAATTTATATATGTTTAAGAAATTGAGGTTGTGTATTTATTTATTTAGGTTGTGAATTTATATTTTTGTGAATGCTTGAGAACTCGCGGTTTTAAACCACTAATTCGCGGTAACCGACCGCATTTTGCGGTAAACGCGGTCGGTTTGCGGTTTCAAAAATCACCAAACCGCAAATAGTCGGTCGGTTTGCGGTTTGAGTAAAAATTTACGGTTACCGAACCGCAACCACCCCTAATTTTGAGCAACCTTCCATCATCGCTAGTTGGCCACTTTAACCTGTTCATTGTGCTCACTAGGAAGTATATGATTAAACTACAAGAAAAAAAAATTGCTAGCACTACATAATTATAAAATATTAAATTCTAGATCAAGATTCAAGTATGATGTATGATATAATTTTTTTTTTAATATGTATATTTAAAATAGAATTCATAAAAAGGAAAGACAGGTCACTGCACCCAAAAAAAAATGCCACATGGTGTCTCATTAGGATTTTTATAAATAATTTCCTATAAATAATTTAATGCATGGAATCATCTTTTTTTCTTCTTCTTTTTTTATACACAAAATTTATAAATCTGACGTGGAACGGAATCACCTTTCAAGAAGAATAATGATGTATGACACTCAAATTATACATAATCACATAATTTACATTACTAAATCGGGATTACTGTGCATGGTCAGCATGGGTATTTTATTAGGCCAATGTCGTGGCCTTAAACTTTATAGTTTCCGTCTTAGACCAACCCTTCCGCACGTGCACTCGTGGGTTGGAATTTGAATATTCCAAATCAAAGGGCTTTTGGTTTTTGAGAAGAAAAGGTATTGCCAATTTGTTTAATTAAGTTGCTATCCTTGAAAACAAAGAAAAATATTGGTATTATCTATTCAAAATCGTTGTCTCTAATAATTTGATATGTTATGTCGTTAGATTATTAGATTAGACTACTATTTCAATTTACATGTAGTCTAATAATGTAACTAACGTGTAACGACTTTCTCCTACCATACTTTGTTAGCTTTGGGATTCTTGTTTAGATTTGGAGCACATAAAATGGGTTGGGAAAGACGAGGAAAATTATGGGAAAGAGGGTCTAGGTGGCTTGTGGTGAAGCCAATTGGAGAACAATGCGTCCAAGTCCAAGGAAGGTGGCTTCTGGATTTTCTCTGAGAAGACTCCAATACAGATATATCCAAGTATTGACCCGGTTGAACACGTCTGCTTGACACTATTTTATTTGCAAGAAAGAAGAAGAAGGAGGTCAATGCATGATTGTGACTTTATGAAATCGTCTTTGACATATAATTTTTTTCTCTCTCTCAATCCTTAAAACCCTAGAAATATAAAGGGAGACCAAACACCGTTTTGCTTAAGTATTTTAAAAGTCTACGAATTAGACTCAATGATTTGACCAAAATGCCCATGTTTTGAAGTGATTTTACTCATAGAAAAATACATATATTTTATATTATATAATATTTGGGTTTTGGCTCCCACAGTGACAGAGTCCTGCCTTTTATAGTAGTCTCTGTGAGCAGTTTCTTTTTGATGCAGAATCAGAATGATTAATTATGAGATTATTATATTTGATTTTTTTATAGTATTCTCAACTAGACACCTCCCAATTCCAATTAGGTACAACCAAAATTTTGCAAAATTTTATTCCTCTTCTTCCCCTTGGAAAAGGGTTTTCCTTGTTACAGCATATCCAGCATGCATATGCATATGCAATGCAAGCATTTATAGTAAGGAATTATAAACATTCTGATGGAAACTTTTGTCAGGGGGGGTTTTGAATTTAAAAAGAAAAAAAAAACCAAAACGAGAAGATTCTTCTAAGTGAAGAAAGATTATTAGATGGAAAACAGATTCTTAGGAAAGTATTAAAAGGAAAACAAGGAGAGATTTTTATATGTTCCGGGTACATTAGATGTGCACATAGGATATGTGAAATTATTCTCCAACTTATTGCATTGCTTTTTATGATATGTGGTTGGTTGTATCTGAAATATTCCACGGATCCTACGTTTATTGGACGGTGCACTAACCACGTGATGTAATCAAAAGTTCTTCAAAAAACAAGACATACAAAGAAAATTTAAGCTTTAGACTCTATTTGCATTTGGTAGTGAACAAAAGTTACACAACACAAAAACTACCCTCTTGAAGTTTCAACCACCACTCTTTTGGTAATGAAATCCAAGTCCTCCTGATCTTTGAGAGGGACATAACATTCAAAATAGAAGCATCACATATGCTCCCTTAACAATTATGAAATCTGGGTAAAGTGCTAGTTTATGTACTTTTTGTGGACATCTACTAAACACATTTAAACACAATTAATCTTTTAATTTAGTTCTAAATACAAGTACTGTTTATCAAGTACCACAAGGTCATTGAATTTGGAAAAAAGATGATTAAAAAAAGAGGGAAATTGTTGCTGGTTAGACACTGGCTTGCAAATTGGTTTCTCTTTTGGAGTGCTGAGTTTTGGTTATTTGTTTACTTTGACACATTGGTACAAAGCACAAGGTTTCATGAGCCTCGAATGAAATTGGAATTCATTGTTATACGGTCCCAGTCTTCTTTTCACCTTTAGCTAACCTTCCTAGCCTAGCCTTTTGTGTGAATGATGCTGCTATATCTGAGATGCCAACCCATCTCACAATTTTATTTTTATTCACTTTTTCTTTCTTCTCTGTCTCTTTACCTCTTTCAGGCAATCTCCATTAATTTTTGAGTTGTACTGTACATATGACTGTATTTTACGAAAATAATCAAGTGCGGACTATGGACTGTGAGAGACTGGACGATTGGCTATCACAGCCCGTTATTGTAGATGTCCGCTCCTGAACCGGCCTTCTAAATAGCATGTTATTCCAAGAGGCAGTCATGCAATTCTTATGCAGATCTCATTTAAACAAAAAATTCGTATCACAAAAATTGTGACATGGCAACCTAACCTGAAAGATTTGGAAACAATGGCCAGTTAATTGTAAAGAAAGAAGAAAACAACGGCCAGATAATTCAACTAGTAATGGCCTAATTTGTAACTGAAAGATTAGTCCAAGCAACGGTATCCCAAAATTAAACGAAATCATTAAGATTAATCATAATTAATTTGCACAATTTAATAGAGGGTTTATGACTTAAAAAAAGAATTCAAGTCCACGGTAAAAACTCTGGTCAATGATTACGTAAAACTGAGCAGAAAGAGAAACCTGCTGGAGGAACTACAAGGGTATTTCTGGAATAGTACCCGCGAGTGTAGAGGCGGCAACAAGCGTCAAACTTTCCGTCAAACCAAACACCCCATACAAGTCTCGTTTTGTCTCTGAGTCTTTGTAGCTTTTGGTCCGAGTCTGAGCCCCCAGAAATAGAATATTTTCAGACCTTTCCCAAACCCAAACCCAAACCCCAATCCCCAACCCCCAACCAACCCACAACATTTCCAAATTTGATTTTTTTATAATTTTAATTTTTTATATACAATCGATATGATTCGAACACAGAATCTCGGATCGAGAATGCCTAGTGTTAAAAATTTAAGTTACAGACTCCTTGGTTTCCCGATTTCAAATTAGAACTGGGAATTTCCAATTATGTGCTTCTCTAACCACCCATAAACCATCTGAAACTTTAAGAAACCCTCGTCTCAATCTTCAACTAATCTGGTTGTTACTCAAATTAAAATTTTTAAACTGAAAGATATTGCCTAAAAAGTACACCCATAAAATATATAAAAATACTAAAAAAATAGTTTTTAAACTGATACACACCGACGCACAATGCCACCATACATAGCCTCTCACTCTCTTTCTCTCACATAAACACAAACACACTGTTCACCCTCTCTCTCTCTTTGCTTTCTGTGTCTCTCTGCTACAAGCCGACGACAAACTCCGCGCTGGCAAAGATTCCCTTCTCCCCTCCTTTGTCCTACTTTTTTCCTTTTCCTTTTCTCTTATCTTCCTCCGCACAAACCCTAAGCTCTGAATTTTCCCCGAGAAACAAACAGGCAAACCCAACAACTATCAGAGAATCCCAATCCCACAGTCATGTTTCAGCTGATCTCGCCTTAACCCAACACGTCTCTTTCCCCATACACTCTTAAAGTTGTCTTCTTTTTCGAGCCTGATGGGCTGCACGAGCTCCAAGCTTGATGATCTTCCGGCCGTGGCTTTATGCCGAGAGCGCTGCGGCTTTCTCGACGAGGCGATTCACCAGCGCTATGCTCTGGCAGAAGCCCACTTCGCTTATATTCACTCCCTCAGAGACATCGGCCACTCTCTGCATAAATTCATCGAACAGGAGGTGGGCAATTCATCTGGGTCACCTCCTTCTCCCCACCTCAACCTCCCTCCTGTCCGAAAAGGGGACCCCAAATTGTCGCCGCCGCACCACTCTCGTTCAAATTCAGGTTCCCATCTTCACTTTCACTCCGATTCCGACGACGACGACTTGGGCTCGCTCCACCACTCGGACCACTCGTCGCCGCTGCACAATACTCACCCTGGCAGCCATATTGATTACATGGGCAACGGCCAGGAGGGTTTCCAGGAGGGTTTTAGCTCGTACCCAGATGGTTACATGCGCATGAATTACATGAGGAACAAAGCGACACCGTCTGTGGTGTATCAGCAGAAACCCATGAGCCCAGAGAACGTGTATCACATGGGTGAATCTTCTTCTTCTTCAAATTCGTATTATGGATATCCAAATTCAAATCCTAATCCGAACAACACTGCTAATCCTTACCCCTATTATGGTGGGTACAACAATTACGGTGGCGGGGGTGGGGGTGGGGGGTATTATGGTAATTCATCTCCTCCGCCGCCTTACGGAGCCATATCGTCGCCGCCGGCTTCGGCTTCCACCTCTGCGCAGCCGCCTCCGCCTCCGCCATTCCCGCCCCGAGCTTCG